CATTTTTAAAAACTTCCTGCCCCAAATGTGGCCTTGGGTAAGGGACCATCAATCTAGCCATAATGCTGGTTATTGTGGGGGAACCACAATGACATAGGCCCTTCTGTCAAGGAGCCCACTGATTTGTCAAAGAACTGGCCACACTTGTGCATGGGAAACCAGGGGAAGAGTGCCAGGTGTTGACTGCAAAGGCAAACTGTGTAAAGAGGGTGCAAACAAGATATCATTTGGGCATCTCATTGGAAGAAGTCTTTGAGCTGGACCCAAGGGCTGTAATGCTGATGAGACCAAGGCCCCAGCCAAGCTCTGGAGGAAGTGGCTTAAGCTCAGTCAAGGTGAGGCAAGTAGCCCTAGGAGACATGTGGACAGGACAGAGAGCAGGCATGATGACTCATGGAGAAATGGCCAGGCAGTTGACCTCTGGCATAACGAGAAATGCAAGAGTTTGGGGATTCAAGTGAAGAGGTGGTATGGGCCTCTGTAGATCTTCAATCAACTTTCTGCAGACTCAGAACAAGCTGGGAAGGGGAGAGGGGAGATCTCCTGAGAGAAGAATATAAGGACTAGTCTCATGAACTGTCCCACTGCAATAAAACTTAAGGGGCACTGAGCTACCATCCTTTATCCTAAAATCTTCTCATTTTCCCTTCTTATTAGGGGGAGTCAGAAAACTTTTTGGATCTTCAAGAACTCCTTATCTAGGTACAAATAACCCTAGAAATCTTAAGCTAGTGTTTCTCTCTCTTGGCTGCACATAAGAATTGACTGGAGATTCTCATTCCTGAAGTCTGGAGTGGGGCCTGAATCTCTGGATCTACTAAACAACTTCGAAGTGATTCCAGTGTACCTCCCCCCACACCCAGGCTAAGGAGTCACTGATCCAAGCCCGAGAACGCTGAATAGGGAGCCAGAAAACCCAAGTTCTGATCCCAGATCCACCACCTTTCCCAGCCTTAGGTAAATCTTTTAGCCTGCTGGTGACCCAGTTTCTTCACATGTAAAGTTGGGCAAACCATCCTTAGCTGTGAAGATATAAGGAGACTCAAGGGCAATTTAGAGCAAGGAAGGGCTTACTGACACTTAGCGGAAGATTCATGGCCAGTTGGCATGGCGGGTGGGGAAAGACATTAACCAGAACCCTCATTGCAGTAACACCTGCTTCCCCTCCTCCCTGTCCCCCAGGATAACTGCCCCCTAGTGGTGAGAGTAAACCTGAGCATCTAAGCTTTTGTCCTGGAAAGAGTGGGTGTGGGGGCAGATCTGAGAGCAGAGAGCGTGGAAGAGGATATGAGGAAAGACCCAGAGAAGAAGGGGAAGGGGGAGGCAGTGCCCATGGCCAGGAACTCCATTTTACTTTTTGAGGTCCAGACCCATGGGAAATAATCTTTCATGCTGTTACCAAAAAGATGATGAATTATTGAAGAGACTGAGAAGGCCAGATGGCAGGTGGGGTGCAGGGCAGGTGCTATGATTTTTGTGCACAGGCTTGGGGGAGGGGGGAGGGGTGGATACCCACCCATAGCTTCTTCTCCTAGGATGCGGCTTATGGCTACAGCGATTTGCTTCTCCAAATCGAAATGCAGTCCCTATGGACCAGTTCTTGAGACCTCTTGGGGATGGTGGAGCAGAGTCAGTCCTGGGCGGTGCCAGGAAATGCAGGCTGCGTGGCTGTCGGCTGTGTCTCTGAGATAACTTGGAATCCTAGCTCCAGCCCGCAGAGACCTCCCACCAAAACCCCAGAGAAGGGAAGGAACCTACCCAAGGCCACACAGGTGGCCTGGAGCCCAGCCTTCCTTTGATCCCTCAGTTCTAGTGCTTTCCACTGCGCCACCTGAGAGGCTTGGAAAGGTTCTATTCCTGGACTAAGGCTTAAGTGAGGTCATGCCCTCCCTCTGACCCCTGCCCAACACTGCTAGCCCAGCAGAGGCCCAGAGGGTCCAGGAGGTAGCAGAGCAGAGGATTACAAACTGCCCAGGCTCAAGGGTCAGCTCTGTCACTTACCAGCACCGTGATCTTGGGCAAGTTATTTAACCTCTCTGAGCCTTAATTTTGTTTCATCTAGGGGTGATTCTAGTACCCTAGGGTACTTCTAAGGATTAAATAAGCTAGTACTTCAATGGAAAGTCCTTACCCTATAGTAAATGCTCAACAACTGTTAGCTCTTAATAAGACTGGTCCCTTCTAGGGCTTCTTGGACCACTCAAGCTCTGGGATTTGAGCTCCCCACACAAAGGACTTGGCCTTGAGGTGGCCAGCTCACCTGGAAGGAAAAGTGGGAAGCAAAATGCTTGCCTGGCTAGTTAGGACAGCAGTAGCTGAAACCAGGTCTGGTCTGGAAGCCTGGGAGTGAGCGATGGGCTAGAGAAGTAGTAAAGACAAAGTTAGTTCTTTTCAAAGCTTTTGCCCAGTAGCTGAGGAAAACTTTGCACAGGCCTAGGACTGCTGAGCCTCCAGTTTTTGCCACAGGAGTCAGGGAGAGCAGAAATGAGAGGGGAAGAAGGCCACACGCTCCCCCCCTCAGATAAGATGTGCAACTGAGGGAATCTGAGAATCCTGACTTACCAATCCAGCCGCCAGCCTTAATACCATCTCTCACTGCCCCTCCTTGGACCAAAAAGCAAGGCTGACACTTGCTTTTCATGAACAGGAAGAACAGAAGCAGCACTACCTCCAGGCTGCGGTTTGAGGATACTGTAAAGTCCTGCCCATAGTCTGTGTCTCTCCTTCTGCCTGTTCAGAGCAGAGTAGGGGGAAGGTGACTAGGAATGGTCCAGGCTGGGCCCCTCACTACCATCTCACAAATAAGCTAGTGTTGATGATGACAGTTCTGGCTAATTTTGAGCACATATATTTCCAAGCATCACGTGAAGGGCTTTGTATGAATTATCTTACTTCATCTTCACAATAACCCTGTAAGACAGTACTGTTATTACACCCCATTTTCCAGGTTTGTAAACTGAGGCTCAGAGAGGTAAAGTTACTGTCCATGGCCACACAGAAACCCAGTTTGGCTACAGAGAGCCTACTTCTCCCTGATGCCCTAAACAGCCTCCCTGTGCTCTGCTGTGAAATTCATTCCCAAAGAGAGGAGTTCTTTGGTGCCTCCTGCATCAGGCAGGTTAGTGCCCCTGCTCTGTGTTCCTTCAGCACCCTCAGATTGCAAATTTTAGTACTTCCAGTGCTGATGCTCTGGTCCCCAGAAAGCTTTCCATCCTCTTCTTCACACCTAAGAGCTAGCTCTACCTCCAGAAAGCTCTCCTTCCAGAAAGAAGGGAGGAGGAAGGTACAGGCATGGTTTAGGGGTGAAGAGAAAAGATTGGGCACTGCTCTAGGTTTCCATGGCAACAGCCTCCCTTATTACCGCTTCTGCCTGCTGCTGAGAAAGCTGAGGAGGGTGCTGAGGTGGCAGTTAGGCTGTCTTCTCTCTTTTCCTTCCTCACCTCCCCTTCAGGCTGGGCAGCCAGGTGAGCTGAAAGCCTGCACCTGACCCAACCTTGCTGGTTGGATTCTACCCCACTCCAAGGTTAGAGGCTGGGACCTTGTAGCTGGGGGTCCTCCAGGCAGAATGGCAGCCTGGGCCAGGCCTCCCAACAGCATTCCTCTCCCCAGATCCCAAAGGCTGTGAACTCCTTGAAGAGGACCTCATGTTTGTACTTCCAAGGGCTACTTGGGGCCTGGCAAGGGTAGACACGCAATTAACTCTTGTTGAATGAATGAATGAACACATGAAAGAACAAACCAGGGATCCATCCTCCACTAAAGTCACAAATATTCATTTTCACTTTCCCAAATCTCCATGCTTCATCTCCCATCTGGATCTTTGCCCATATGGTTCCCTCTGCCCATGTTTCCCTGCTGTGCTGTGCTGATTCTGACCCTCACATCTCAGCTCAGAGGTCATTTCCCCACAGAAGGCTTCCCCGGGGCTATCAGAGTGTGTGCAGCGCAGAAGCATGTGTCTGTGGGTCTTCTCAGTGAGCCTGGAGCTTCATGTGGGTGGGAACCAGGTCTGTCAGGGCCCTAGAGCCTGGCATGATGCCTGGCTCATGGTAAGTACTCATCCTTTTCTTTGTGGCAGGCAGACAGGCAGGCAGGCAGGCAGGCAGAAGGAAAGAGAGAGAGAAGAGAGAGAGAAGAGAGAGAGAGAGAGAGAGAGAGAGAGAGAGAGAGAGGATTGAAGGAGATGAGG